TTTACTTCGTCGAAAATTATTTCGACAATCATTTCGTCGAAAATTTGTTTCGTCGAATGTTCATTTCGTCGAAAGTTATTCATCCTCGAGCCAGAGACCAAAAGAGTTAGATGTGAGAAGTGTGGTAAGTTAGTTAAGAAATTAGGTGAGGAAAGCGGAGTGTGTGGGAAGTGTGAGGAGAAATTTGTTTAATGAAGTTTTTTTTTGTGACGAAACAATTTTCGACGAAATGAACTTTCGACGAAATGAACTTTCGATGAAACAAACTTTCGACGAAACAAACTTCGACGAAATGGGTGTCAACGAAATGACTGTCGACGAAATGAATCAGACCCCGATAAGATAATCCATCTCATCATTTGACAATACAAGACTTATCTCCTTATTTCCTTTGACAAATTTTTCTTTAATCAAACTATAATTAAAATTTGTAAAATTATTTTCATCCACTAGATTTAAAATTTTCAATGGCATGAATTTAACATTTTTAAATATTACACTAGATGTTGGCAATTGTTTTACAAGTGTTTGAGTCATACAATCATATAAATAATGATCAATCACAAAAAGTTGTTCTGATATAACATTTCGAGTATCTATATCTTCTCCAGTTGTCAATCAATAAGCAATGCCACATTCAATGTGCACAACATGATCTTTTAAATTACACATATAAGCAATGCCAGTAGCTTTCGAGGACCAGGGTGAAATAGTACCAGGCCTAGGAATTACAATGAAAAAAAGAGAATCATTTGCTGCTCTATCAGGTGATTTTAAACATGATTTTATATAATCAACAATTCTTTTTTTTTATCATCACTAAATTATTGTTTTGAAATAATACCATAATTTAATAAATTATCAAGGATTTTTTACATTCAATTGATTTGGAATTACTCAATGTTTGAAAGAAGCTTCATTAGATGGTTGGATAAAGTGGACATGAATTGCAGTTATCAAGTCAATTAAGGGAAGCTCGGTTTGTATGTTTTTTAAAAGTTGTGAAGATTTAAATGAAGAAAGAAGAAGATTTCCAGGTAAAATAAGCATTTTTATTTTTATTTTTTTAGATCTTGACTGATAATCAATCATTGATCAAAAAAAGTTCCGAATGATATGTGTATATTATTATTATATAGTCAAACAATTTGTCACATTAAATGATTGGGAAGTGTATTTTCCAAAATTTTTTGACCACAAACCTTGCACCTAATTTGGACATTTTCCAAAAGGCAAATCCTTATCCATGGAATA